AAGGTCAAAGTTAAGCAATGTATATTGCCCTGTGTACGGCTGCAATAGTGATAGTCAACTGAAGACAACTGGAAACGTTAATTTCTTTCGTTTTCCTTGCGGTAAAACGCCTGAGCAGAAGAGCCGTAGAGCGACCTGGCAAGAATTTTGCAAACCAAAAGCATTCAAACCCTCACTTTGTACAAGAATTCGCTCGCTTTATTTTGCCGAGGAGTCATATGAACCCTCGCATTCTCCTCAATTCCTCGAAAATCGAAAGCATTGGATACACAGAGAAAACGAGTTTGCGCTTAAAGCCCAATGTTTACCAACGGTTGACAAGTCTACGACCAGCGCTAGTGTTTCTAACGTATCTGCATCGTCACAATCGAAGAGAACAAGGAGACAAACCGAGAAGAGACAACGTCAAACGGTACAAACAGTCCTGAAAGATACATTTCACAATAGCTTTAATAAATTCTGCTTCTTCAATGTCCTTATTTTTCTTCATTGTTTCACAATTTACAATCCTGAAGAGTGGTTAAAGTCACTAATTTCATCAACAGAGAATGAAGATTTGTCGGTTGCGACTTGCGAGTAATCTACATAAGCGATATAAAAGAAGCAGACCTTCCCAGTTCCCATAGACGCAGACGCAGTTTGCGAGGAAGAAATCATAGCCAGTTCAGATCTCTCTTTTACTAATAGCGAAGACATTTACGCTCCACAATTAAGATCAAAATACACTCAGAAGTCAGACTTCGCTGAAACACACAAGTAAATCACACACATTCAAAACACAGACATTCATAACAACAGAATCACCGTGGTTTAGACAGTTATTTGATACCGCAAACTTAAATGTAGAAGCGCGGAAACAACGACGCAGAATAAACTGACAAACAGGCAGAGCTAGCCAAATCGCCAGAACTGAATAGGACTGTAAATGCAGCTCTAACAACTTTAGAGGCCGAACTTACGTTAATCATCGAAGAACTACCTTCTGCACTACAAACGACATCATTAGAAAATTTTGACCAAACGAAGTAAAACTAATACCATATATAAGTTACCGACAGCTTACCAAACCAACATTGACCGCTTCCTTCAGTATTTGTAACTAAAGGGTCGTACTGATCGTACTCTAAAGCCTTTTCGAGCTAGGAAAAACTTCCTATTGTCTTTGTTTGCAAGGTACAGTGGGCACACTTGCACCAACTGAGCGATTTAAGACGCCAGCTATTGAAATTTTCGCCTTGAATGCTTCATCGAAGTCTCAAGTCGTCGTCTGAGCCTTTGAGAATGACTCGCTCTCGGACTCGCTTATGCCCCACTGCTACCGGTATTTCTGTTTAAAACAGGATCATACTGATAAGTCAACACTTAACCTAACTAATTCTCGTGAATTTCGTCCATAGAAAGTCTAGAACCGGCGAAAATTCCTCACAAAACTTAAAACTGATCAAAAGCTATAGTAGCGACAACGTATTGTTTTGCTTCTCCCCTGCTAATGACGTCAGAGGCCTCAAATGACATGAAAGATAATTTTCCAAAATGTGCTTTCAAAATGGCGGGCGATATGCATAATTAGACCAAATTCATTCGCTTTTTACTACAAATTGAGATATTTTCATCTCAAATGAAATACATATCCTGACTAAGACACTTATAGAGGACAAAACAAGGCAATAAAAAAATCCATTGCCGATGTCCTTTAACATTTCTTTCTTGGAACATTAGAATTTGAGGGTCATTGAATATTTAGAATAAATCTTTTAATCAAAATCGCTTCATAAATTAATTTTCATGCATTCCCAAAGGCCTTAAACAAAAATAAAAGAGCATCTCCATCCAATAAACATTTTTAATTTAAACTACACTTCATTGAAACGAATATTTACGATAAAATGGTAACGGTTATCAAATTAGTTTAACAGGCCGTTTTTAGCTAATTCTCGACACTTCCCAAAATGTTTATTCAAGTTTAAACGCAGCTCTCGCGCGAAAAAACCACATGAAATCACACGTGTGATTTCATGTGAAATCATGTGAAATCATGTGATAACATGTGAAATTATGTGATCTTATGTGAAATTTCACATGTCAAAAGATTTTACATGAAATCACATGTGACATTTCACATGTGAAAAGATTTCACATGAAATCATTTCACATGTGAAAGGATTTCACATGAAATCACATGTGACATTTCACATGTGAAAAGATTTCACATGAAATCACAAGTGAAATTTCACATGTGAAAGGATTTCACGTGAAATCACATGTGACATTTCACATGTGAAAAGATTTCACATGAAATCACAAGTGAAATTTCACATGTGAAAAAAAATTCACATGAACGTTACACATTACACATTACAAAGTGGAATTTCACATGACCGTGAAAGGATTTCACATCAAATTACAAGTGAAATTTCACATGTGAGAAGATAAGGATTTCACATGAAATACAAATTACATGTACAAGTGAAATTTCACATGTGAAAGAATTTCGCATGAACGTTACAAATTACAAAGTGAGATTTCACATGAACGTGAAAGGATTTCACATGAAATTACGACTGAAATTTCACATGTGAAAGGATTTCACATCAAATTACAAATTACATGTACAAGTGAATTTTCACTTATGTGAACAGATTTCACATGAAATTACAAGCGAAATTTCACATGTGAAAAGATAAGAATTTCACATGACATTACAAATTACAAATTACAAAGTGAAATTTCAGATGTACGTAAAAGGATTTCACATGAAATTACGACTGAAATTTCACATATATGTGAAAGGTTTTACAAGAAATTACATCTTATTAGTGCCTTACACGTTTGAGAATTTAACTCAGCAAAACTAAAGCTTTTCGTCGACGTATTACCTTTTTTAAAACGTATTATTGGAGTATTGGCAAGTTTTACCATTCAGAGATTTACAAACTAATCAATTGAAACTGTAAAAACAGTATTATACGCACATTCACTAATGGCTAATGAGAACTTATAAACCATACATTTTCCGATAACGACAGAACGCTTGTGTAGCCTTTAGT